TCATTTTTCCTGGCCTCCGATCGCATAGCAAGGACCCACGCAACACGTAAGGTGGAGGGACGTCGGTATGTGAGGTGGTTCGAAATGTCCTTTTTGGCAAATGAAGGACAGGGAGGTGGGGGGGAAGCGACGAGAGAGAGAGAGGGAGGCATGACACAATAAACACACACGCAACCACCGACAAGTGAGACCGAGTTGGAGGTGAGGTGGACCGACCGTTAGCGACAACGTGGGAGGGGCCTGATGTGTGGACGAAAGGTAGTTCGGTAAATGTTGCTGGTATAGTTGCCTCCGAGGTGTGAAAAAGAGGCGGTCCTAGCAGTCCATAGTCGGCCATAGAGCGCAGAGAGGAGGCCATGTGTCGTGACATCACACGTCAACTCGTAATCCATTGCGCTCTATGCCGACTATAAAACCCGTAATCCAAAGACAATACCTAGTCATAGTTGTCAGGACGGTCATTTGCAATGATATAATAGTTACGATTGAAATCAATATCGACTATATACCATCGATTCGAAATGTTACAACACTACACTCAATCCGATTGTAAGACATCGATTGCGGCCAGGGTGTGGGCAGTGTTCTATCCGACGGTCAAGAGGTGACCAAGAGGAGAAGTGTGGTGTTCGAGTAAAGAGAGCGCTACCGGCAATAAAGAAGGATTAGGAACCGACGAGGACCAGAGAACCTGCGGATCGTCCGAGTATTAATATTCCAAAACACAAGGGGCAGGTATACGTAAGCTTTATAAGTACACAGTTGAAGAAGACACGGCTTTGATCGTAACCTTAGGTAACAAATAATTATGCAATGTGGCCCGCGACGAGGAGAACACAGAGGGGGCACAATCGCAGTGTGGCGTGCCCTCCAGTGCACCGCTACGAAAAAATAAACCGCCTTCACTTGTAAAGAATGTTTTTGCTTCGGGGTCTGGACAGTTGTACAGTATACATGAGGTAAAGTGGTACATATAAAAAAATCTTTGAGAGCTGACGATAGGTGTAAGTAAAAGGGTAGGGTAGAATAAGTGTCCAAAAGAAGATGGACCCTTCAACGAGGAGAATCACGAGAGGACGGTCGAGTTATGATAGTCAAACGGTTGTACCGTAGGTTTTTTTTTTTATTCTGTGTGATAGTGTGTTTTCGAGTTTGTATTTATGGACAAGAAGGGCATGTGTGTAGTGACATGGTATCACTACAGGTAAACACCAAACGCGGCTGAATAGTGTCCACTTTATCAGTCGTCTGTGAGTTGTTCCAAAGGTGAATTCTAAGTGTTTGTTGTTGGGGCGGCGAGCGAGAGTAATGGGAAGTTTAGTACAATTGGAGGATTGTGGTTGTGTAAAAACAATGTGGTCAGAAAAGAAGGAATGATTTCCCGCTACTCCTTTGTACAGGTGCCACCCTTTGAAAGGTACTACATTTCCTATCTATCGTCCAATTCTCTTATCTATATAAAAGCAGAAATGACGTGCACTTTTACAGGTCGTCCTCACACGTCTTCCATTCGCCGCCGTTATATTATCAGTGTCTCTAAGTATCTATTAGGGTGAAACCTTTCCAAGACGAGTAAAGAAGGTCACATAAGAGATTGGGAGTGGGAGCGGAGAGCCGTGTAACGTCTTGGTGTGATTGTCACGTTCGAAAATCTCAGAAAATCTTTTCGGGTCCGGACGGGAGAGGCGTTCAGAGAGCAAGGAAGAAGTGGGACGACATTAAGGTTGGATTTTGGGAGCCGAGTGGTTACCTGAGTGTGGCGGTCATTAGTGATGGACCAACGTATAGATCTGTCAGAACGACGAGTTGGACGAGACTATCGGGTGGAATGGTAAATCTGTACAAAAAGGTACTACTGCCTCTTTGTGGTCAAACTCCATGACGAAAAGTTCTCCGGTCGTCCGACCAGATAAGTGCACACCGGGTCTCGTCCGCTACTCAGGACCGCCCGTACGGGTCTTCAAGAGGTAAATATTAAGTCGGACCCTTCTGTAGAACTTACTTTTTACTCCTTGTGATTCTGTTCCTACTCGCTTCCTTAATCGCCGGGTCATAATGTTGAC